TTTATGTTTTTCAAAACACAACACTGACTATATGTGTGTGGAGTGAGAGAGTCTCACTATTGAAAAACAGCCTCGACAAGTATCAGGGAATCGGTTCTAAAATTCATGGCCATTGAATGGTGTAATTTCTCTTTTTTGTTAGTCTAGTTTCAGATCAAACTCTGTGCAGACTCTTCCACAGTAGAAGTTAGAAAAACCATTCACCATGTAGATCAAATGCTTTTGCCTCGATCTTTGGATTTTGTTTAATTACACGCAGTATTTGAAATTAATTTGTCGTTTTGGCACTGCTAACAATCTTGCAGTACTTGAAATTTGAAAGATAGTTTTTGTACTTTCCCCTGAACAGAACTCCTGCCACTTAAACAAAAGGCATTTTCATTACTCCAGAATTAACTTAATAATGGTAAAGTTTCATTCAAGAGAACTCTTTCCTGGCTATATGTTAGGAAGGTAGACCTTTTCTAAAACTTGGAAATTCAGAGCTTGAATGTCAGAATGGTTTGTAATACAGAAATTAAGCAGTAGACAATAACAGAAAAACATTCTTCCTTTATTGGTTTGCAGACAAAGAATGGAAATTCACTTTTCTGCAGAGGACTCTTGCAGAGGAAATTTGCAGTATAAATTCAGAGCTTGTATCAATCAATCTCAGGTCTCTGTGGTGGACTGAGAAGTATTCTACCTGGTTTCAGCACTTTGTGCATCAAATTGTATGAGGCAGGCCATGATGATGAATAGATGCATCTCTGGAAAATTTAGTGTTATCCTGTACATCCCAAAATGCTATAGAAAAAATCAGATAAAAATGTATTTTGACAAGAGAAGACTTAGAATTTTAATACCTCCTTCTGTTGCTACGTGTTTAAATTTGGGAAGGGCACTGATGTAAGCTAATGAAAAATTAGCAATACAGAAATTGTCTTTAGGAAAAGCAAAAGTTGATTTCAAATGAGCTAGAACTGAGACATTTCAAGAGAAGAGATGCTAGCAATTTAGCTTCTCCAATTTAGATGTCCTTTTGGGTAGCTTCTGCAATACAGCTTCAGTTCACTTACCTGCTTGCCTGTAGCTTTGCTGTGTGTTTTGATTTACCTTCTGGGTGCCAGCTTATTGCATACTCATGAGTGAAAATCAGGAGTCAACATATGTACGGTCATCTTTACAATCATACATCTTTTCCTCCAAAATGTTAATGTTCTCATATGAGCATGTGACCTGTAAGTAATGTTCTGAGGTTTTACAGCTTTAAGTCCAGATGTTGAAAGCTCTTTGTGGGCATTCTGCTTGACTTAGCTCTTCACCGATGTGCCTGAAGAAGCCACTAAGTGTTTCGCATAGAAGAAGTTTAAAGGATGATGGTGGTGGTGGGTCTAATTTGCCACTGAATACTACTACATAGGTTGTTCATTTTGGCTCAGAAAGTGCTTGTCCTTGCACTGTCATGTCTTTAACCAGTGAAGAAAGAATTGATGCTAAATGTTATCTGAGGCTGTGTCATTTTGCTTGTTAGGCACATAGTGACCTAGGAGTCACGTTTGGTTTTCATTTTCTTAAGAAAACCACCGAATTTTGTCTTCGGTTGAAGCCAGGGCTACCCCTGTAATGGGAAACAATGTAATGCTGACTTGCAGGGAGCACTGTTAGTCCTTGAGCAACAACTCGCTCGCTCATGGACCTCTCTTGAGAAGTGGTGCTGCAGATTCATCTCTGCTTCCCCTCTTCAAGTCATCTCGAAAAGCTGTAGATGTTCAGAGCAGTAGTATAAAGAAAGGGGTTGATCCAGTTGCCCTTTCTTCCTCCTTGTTGCAGGAACAAGCAGACCTTGCTCCATCCCCTTTTCTTACCCTATGGACTTTTTTTATTGTTTTGTATAGGTTTTCTTATTTCTGAAATGTATTAATTCATTAAAAAGTCCGGAGATGTTTCTACCTTTTCAGACTTTTGCAGGAGCATCATGCTAGCAGTGAAGCCCAAAGGTGGCATTTAAGACCCCAGCAGGGAACAAACCCAGTCAAATTTTTCATCAGTGTGAACCAACGTTGTGTGCTTATGCCTTTGACTCTGTTATAGTAGTGTGTTTGGTTTATACAGTTTTATTTGGTGATAATTGGGCTTGGTGGTTAAATATTGGGTGGTTGTTGGCCATCCTAGCCTTTTATGGGAAATGATTGTTTGCTTTTGAAGTTTCAGTAATGAGCATGTTCGATGTGTTTTGTACCCGAGGGCTTTGCTCTCAGATGCTCTTCCTATGTGCTGGGTCGCTTTTTATTTGGAAAGAAATGGTTGCAAATACTCATGGTTGTTTTTCACAGCAGGCAGTTAGCAGAGATTAGATTTTAACTCCCAATTACTGCGTTTAAATTCCTCCTAGAATTTTTTTGTTCCTTTTAGTTTCATCATCTTCCAGCTGCTGTAGGGTTGAATAAAAGAAATTATCTGATCAGGGCATAGGGCTTATGGTGATGCTGATATTGGAACTAATACTAAAATGAGGAGGATTTAATGCTGGTTTTCTGGTAAGGTTTTGTTTGTGTGCATACGTTTGGGTTTTTCAGGAGAGGAGAGCTGTTGCTTTTATATTTTTGAGCAGTAATTGAAAGGAAAGACTCTGAAGGGAAAGCTTTATAATTTCTCACTAGTTACTGCTCTCAAAGGTTTATATGCAAAATCTTCTGTGAAGCAACGGAGCCATTCAGTTTAGCAGAGGAAGAAAAACATACGTGATTAGAAGTGGAAAAACTAGATGCAGTTTTCTATTGCTTTCTCACTTTGGACACTGTGGACAAAAGTCCTTAAGTGGGAAGAGCTGCAAGATTTTCCCTATGACAGATTGTGCTTTTGAAGTGTAGACGGTGCAAGGGGGTGATGAAGCTGATTTGTCTGGGATTTTAAGTAGTTGAGTTCTTGAGAAGTTGTTGCCTGCACATACTTGGTAATACAGAGGACTTGGTTTCAGGGTGTGAATTGTGAACTAGTGAACTTGCAAACATGAGACTATCCTACATATCACCTGTACCGGACTATTTCTCTTCAAATGATAGCAAAGAGACTTAATAACCAGTCCTCAGTAGGTGTTTCTTTTGATTTTGTTTAATCCCGGTAGAGAGGTAATGATTTATATTCTCAATGAAGATAATCTCGCTCTTAGACCGTAAACCTATTCCTTCTGCAGCCTTGTATATTGTTTCCTTATCCTCAAGAAGCGTGCCAGTTAGTATGAAACCCTCTGGATCGTGACATATGTTACAGATGCAAAAGGAGTTTTGACTTGTGAATATTTAAGGAAAGGGGGGAAAAAAACCCTATGTAAATAAAGATGCTTTCATAATTTTTTTTTTCACCCTTTAGACAAGCCTTCTGTTTGAGAGCTTTTGCAGGATTACCTGAGGTTGGTTAGAGACTTAGACGAAGCCTTCCCCCTGCAGATAGTATGATCACTAGTATTTGAGTTCTAAAGTTGGAGTCCAGTCAAGGTATAGATACTGCTGTTGAAACCATGCAATAATATGATGCACTTTATAGATGCAAAAGTACCTGATCTTTTGTCAGGCTCTGCTGTCTCTTGCTCCATGGGATGTTTTTCAGTGATTGATCTGACCTGGACAGTGGGACACAAATTCAAGAATCACTGTCATGGTTTAACCCCAACTGGCAACTAAGCCCCACACAGCCGCTTGCTCGCTCCCCCCACAATGGGATCAGGGAGAGAATCAGAAGGGTAAAAGTGAGAAAACTCATGGGTTGAGATAAAGGCAGTTTAATAGGTAAAGCAAAAGCCGCGTATGCAAGCAAAGCAAAACAAGGAATTCATTCACTACTTCCCATCAGCAGGCAAGTGTTCAGCCATCTCCAGGAAAGCAGGGCTCCATCATGCGTAACCGTTACTTGGGAAGACAAACGCCATCACTCCGAACGTCCCCCCTTCCTTCTTCTTCCCCCAGCTTTATATACTGAGCGTGACGTCATATGGTATGGAATATCCCTTGTTGGATCAGCTGTCCTGACTATGCTACCTCCCATCTTGTGTACCTAGCTCAGTCAGTAGGCATGGGAGCTGTCCTTGTGCTAGCAGGGTACTTAGCAACAACTGAAAACATCAGTGTGTTATCAACATTCTTCTCATACTAAATCCAAAACACACCACTAGGAAGAAATTTAACCCTATCCCAGCCGAAACCAGGACAATCACCTGTCTGTTTGTAGAGAAAACTGAACTGTTTGGGTAGAGGCAGTGGAAGGGAATAATTTCTTTCTTAGTGCTTTCAGCTTATGCTTTTACTATGCTTGATTGCACTGAGAGATGTAGCGGAAAGAGCTAGAGGAGTTGGATGAGAGAGGCACTGAGGCGGTGTTTCATTGTGCTTGAGATTATAAATATCTATAATAACAGCTTTATAAAACAAACAGGGGGAAAAAAAAAACCCAACGTGGGGAAGAACTGTTCCAAGTACAGACAGTGTTTGAGGAAGGAGACTGCTTAAAAGGCTGGTGGTGTAGAAGTTGGCAGAATAAGTATGCGCTGCAGAATAAATACCAGGTTGGAGAGGTTGGAGTTTTAAAGAGGAGCAGAGTATTTGCCTGGTTCTTCCAGCCTTCACAGTTCTTTGCTGCTTCTTCTGCAATGTGTATGTTTCTCTTAACAAAAAACAGTAATAAAAAACTAACACACACCATAGTTCACATGTAACCCTGGAAGAAAGAATGATTTGGAAAGAGAAGTGAAAACACCTTGCCTCTTTGTATATGAAAAGGCATTATCGAATGTTGTAATTACAATAAAGTCTGAACGAAGTAAACCGTATTTCAGATACCGTGGATTTATTTTAGACTGAAGCACAATTTCCCTCGCACACGCCTGCCACGGCCGCTGGTTTGCTTTAGCAGGCAAACCGATGGGCGTTCTCTGTGCTGAGTGAGCTGGATGCGGCAGGAGGCTGCTCAGGGCGAGGGTTTGCAGTGCCTGGACATTGAGCCGCCTGTTGTGTTGTTGATTTCAGCAGGGGGGAGAGGATGCTGGCTTTTTTCACCCAGAGGGCCAGCCCCAGCGGCCCCAGCAACCCCCGGAGCCGAAACAGCAGCCAGTGCGGAAGGTCACATTGACAAAGGGAATGCAACAGCAGCAGCACCAACAGCAGCAGCAGGCACAGATCCATTCACCAGCTCCTCAAGGAGTCAAAAACATCCAGGGAATCCATCAACCTAAAAAGGTGATTTTTTAGATGCATATTGCTGCTAGAAGTTTTACTGTCTAGCTGTGTTGCTCTATTAATAACTAGCATTCTGTTTGTCAATTGCTAGCACAGGGCTGCATGACCCAGGAGATGCATAATTGCATATAAAGCTTTTAATCTAGAGAGGCCTGTTAGTACCCAGCACAGACTGGAGATGCCTGCAGGTTGTTTCATCTGCTGACTTTCTGGCCAGCACAGTACTCCCTGGGGGAAACGCGTGCGTCCCAAGATAGCTACTGTAGGAAATGGTATCCAACGTGCTTTCGGGCTTTAAAGCCAAGAGTTATTCTGAAGTTGTGCTTAAGCTTTTATTCCGGCTGTTTCCTGCATACATAGGAGCACACAGCAACTGTTTCAGGATGCTCTTTGGTCGATCCTCAAAGTTGGTATTGCTCAAAATAGTTGGTGATCTCGTAACTGGATTTTTGCACTGATCATGCACTGGGAGGAGGCAGGGAGAGGATTCGGGTTGCACTGGCGTGTGCCTTCTCTGCATTTGCAAACTGGCATGCTCCCTGAAAATAGCTGGTATTTTGGCTTTTAAGTTAAATCTTGGTTTTGAACTGTTGGACACAACCTTCCTGCTTCATGTAAGGATAAAGTTTCCTTGCTGATGCGGAGGGGCGTGAACAGTCGTTACCCTCCATAGGCTTTCCAAGTAGGAATAATTGAAAAACCACGTTAACTGTTAACTCAATGTTGAGTGTTAACTCTGTGTAATGTTTGTTACCCTGTTTCATTGTTACTTTTCCTCTCTCCGACTGTTTGACCGTTAATTTACAAGAATTAAATCCACACATTTCCTGCTCCAGAGGATACTGTGGTGCCAGATCCTACAGGATTTGGGGGAAAGGAACTTCGAAAAAAATTGTTTTAAAGTTATTTGCCATATGTGAGTACTCCATCCTGATAACAGCCCAAGAGTTGGTAGCAGTAGAGACTGGAGGCACTTGAAGCAGTTTGCTGGTCTTGTGGGTACATTAAATTTATCCATGGGTTGAGAAGAGAAAAGGGAAGAGGGATCACTGATTGGTTTTTTTGGCCAGACTCAAAATGTGGGAGCTGAACACATGCTGCTAATGTGAGCAGTGTTGAAAACTAGGTTAAATATTTTGATCTGAGACCCTCCATTGCTTGGTTGATCTGTGCTAATGCTGAGGCCTTTAGCCTCAATGCAATAGATATATATAAACCAATATATAACTTGCTATCCTTCTAAAAGAGGTTTGTATAAGCAGTGGATGAATATGTTAATAAGTGGCCTTTCAAATCGGCAAACAGCAACAAGCTGTTTTAAGTCAATGCATACTTTAATCAAGTCTTTAAGTAAATTGCCAACTTTTGTATTGTCTGTCAAATGCAGTGAGCAGAAGCACTAGGTAAGTAAATCAAAATACTGTTACTTTTGTTGTTGGCAGGTCATTATGCACGGGAGAGGCAGAGGAGTAGCAGGCCAGATGGGCCGAGGACGCTTGATGCCAAATAAACAGAACCTGCGAGTGGTGGAGTGCAAACCTCAGCCCTGTATTGTGTCAGTTGAAGGGCTTTCTTCATCAACTACTGATGTCCAACTGAAAAACCTGCTGATGTCAGTGGGACCCATTCAGGTAGGTCAACCTCGGTTTATCATTTTTGTGCCAAAAGGCTTTCATTCTGGAAAGCTCAATTAATTCCCTGACACTAAATACAATGTGTGTTTATTGGTAATTTATGTTTGAAAGCACCCCCACCCACACACGCTACACCTGGTAGCAGAGACAAGCACGTGATGATACTGCGGCACGGGAGGTACGGTAGGATTTTGCTAACCATCTCTGCAAAAAAGTCTCCTTCATTTTGGAGTTCTCTTCTTGTACTACCTGTGTTATTTTCTTAGACAATACAAGCACGTCCATTCTATGAGGTTGTTTAAGCCAAATGATGTATCAAAGCAAGTATGTATTTGGTTGCTGTCCTTGTTTTTGTTGGTGACTTGCACCTACTCTCTTTTTTTGACATTTACCTATTCCTGTCGTTGCAGTCCTGGGGTAAGAGCACTTAATGACCACTACCCAGTGGAGATTTTGTACCATGTAGCACTATCTACTTTTTTAGATGAAAACACAGTCTCCTTTGAAGGATTTTCTTTATCTTTTTTTTTTTTTTTTTTTTTTTTTTTTTTTTTAGAAAATTCTCTTTAGGAGGGGCCTGTGGGCAAGGTTATGACACGCACACATACACACTCACACTGGTGTATCTATTGTGAAGCTTCTGTTCATAAACTGCCTCCTGAACTGATGTATCAGTTAAACTGACTGAGGAGGTTTTCAAAGCACTGAAGGGCTTAGGAGGCCCTGTCTGACTTATTGTACATTTGAAAATATCAGTCAATGAATAATGAAATATACAGATTAGGAGACTTTTTTTTCTTGATTTTTTTTTTTTTTCTTTTCAATTTTGGGTGCTCCTTTTGACAGGTTCAACATTTTCAGACAAACGCAATGCATGAATTGGAGCTATTCTGTGAGACTTCTTTATGAGTGGGATCATCTCTCTGTTGCAAAACACAATGGTCTCCTAAAGATGTACACTCTGCCTCACTTCTTCCCAGTTTAGTAAATGGAATAATGCTGAATTATTTACATCGTCAATTCAGAGAGGTTTAATTTGTTTGTGAAAGCAAAAATACTCTCACAAAATACTTTGTCCCTTCATGTTCTGTAGGACTCTAGGAAATTATTCATACAGTTCCAAAGCACATTTATTCAGTGTTTCCTTGCTAAATCTTGCATGAGAATATTAGAAGGAGATTAATAGAAACCCTTCTTGGAAATACAATTGAGAGAAGTTATTGAGAATGTGCTAAAAAATTTATTCAGTACTTGCTGTTTCATAGCAGACTCCAAACTCTGGTCTCTTAATTCAGTCTCACAGACCAATTTAGACGGGTGTGCTTATAGGAAAAAATTGATAACTAATTTTCCAGTGGGATTTGATACATCCCTGTGCCCTACAGAACTTGTATTCTTGCAGCAGCATTAGCTGTACCTTTGGAAATTATGGTTTCTAAATCATCATCTATTTTCACCTTATCAGAGATCTAGAATTAGCACTTGGAAGAGATGCTTCAATTTAGCTAACGATGCAGAAGGCTTTTGTGCTAATTCTGCACTTGAATTTCAAGTCTGACTTGTAGAAGGCTAGATATTTCCTGGCTTGTTTGAGACTGAATGATGTTTCACAAGTATGGATAGTGAGATATGCAGGGCAGAAGTGATCCTTTTATAGGAAGAATATGTGACTGGGACCACTGTATGCAATATTTAGCTCTTTCGGGGTTTTTTTAATGATACCATGTTGTACCACAGAAGTAGTAACATACCAAATGAGGAGGAGGCAGCAGCAATTTTAAGTGCCTTGTAAGACAAGAACTGAAAACAAAATGTTTGAAAATCTGTGTTGTCCCTGTTCACGGTAATCATTTCTATACAGATGGTGCTAGATTTTGAAAGAGTTCAAAATCCAAGAGTGCACGAGTGGATTTTCTTGTGGCTGTAAATTAATGTTTTTACTAATGTTTGTGCTTAGTGCTGTGCAACTGGAAATGGTCAAGAGGCTCTGATAGTGAAGGGTTACTCTACTTGGTTATTTCCTCGTTCTTCCTTTCAAATGCATTTCATATTAGTGACTTGCAATAAGGAGTGCAGAAGTGAGCCACTGAAGAGAGCCGAGTAGTGAATGGAAGGATTCCTTGCCACGTGGACTTTGGGGACAGTAACTGAGAGGCAAGGACAGGTAATGGCCAGCAAAGAGATCTCGGGTGGTGCAGAGCTCTGATCTTCTGAGATGAAGTGTGGCAGCTTGGTGAACTGAAATAGGAGAGATTCAGGGAGATGGCTATTGTGAGAAAACAGCAAGCTGAGAAATTCTAGCTTTTTTGGAAATTAAGCAAGGTGCCCAGGTTTTTAGCTGCTTCAGATGGAATTCAAGAGATAATAAGAGGCAGGAAAGGTGAGTCAGTTGTAGCTGACTGAATCTTTAAGATGTAGTATATCCTGTCTTTAGCTGTTGACTGTATTCAGCAAAACTTTCCTTAATGAACTGAACTCTGAGATGTTGGTTTGCTGAATTTTATTTATCTGGGGAGAAGGGTGTGTGTGTCAAACTCATGCTTATTTTTTGCAACTGTAAAAGAAATTTCAAGTCTGAACCAGAACTTAAGGAGTTTTCCTCCTGCCTGGATAGTGTCTTGAAATAACACATGCCGATTATCCAACACCCAAATCCCTGGTTAAAGGAAAAGGTTCCCAAACTGTAAGACATACACCTCTAATGGTAAGCAAGCATCTTGCTTCAAAGCGTCGTGCAAATGCAGCTCATAAATCTGAATATTGCCTCTTGTGTATCAATTTCTGCAGTCAAGACATGAATGTGGGAATGGCCGCAGTGAGGCATAGCTCCCAGAGGAGGGGAAGAAATACTTCCCAGTGATCCCTCTGCTCTTTGACAATAAGAACAGATTGCGAGCACTTGTCCCACCTGGTACAGGACCTCTGTTTAATCTGCACCTTCCATACTGGTGCATCTGTAGAGCAATTGATCCCACACCAGCTCCTATTTTCAAATATATAGTTTGGCTCCTGATTTTGTTGCATTGTGCTTATCCTGCACATGTTTTCTCAGGAGGAGGATCTTCACTGGCATAACAGAAAGTTTTAACATATCTATGATGAAAGTCTATAATTTGTCAATGGGGTGAACGGGGAGGAAGAGAATACTTTGTTTTTCTGGGTACAAAAGGGTTGCATTTTTATTTTTAGCTTTTTCATGTCAGTATCATTATTGAGGTACAAGTACTTTGCACAAACCTTGAGAAGGGAAGTTGAAAACTTCCCTCAATTTATGATGTTCAGTGCTCCTACCTTTGCCAGCAGCTTGCATTGAGATGATGGCTCTGTGAGTCAGGGTTTGGGAATACCTGGGCGTGCATAAGAGAAGACAAAGGAGACTTTTACAGTTGAAGTTGGAAATTCACCATTATTTCCCTTCCATACCCTAGAAATGGAGAAAATTATCTTTTCCCGTATATGAGCTTTGAAATACCCTCTATTGCCTAATCACTGAAGACTCTTTAATTCTCATCCATGCTTCATTAAAGCTGTTCTGTTATTAACATAGGAGAAAAAAATACCATTAAGATTCTCAAGATACTGAATAGAAGAAAATCTTTGGGGCTCCAGGAACAGCCCCTTAGTCATAGCTGCATTTTACAACTCAAACATCATTAAATTATCAGGAAAAGTACTTCCTTTCAACATTCAGTTTGCTGTCAGACCCTTTCTGGAGAGGATGAGCTTTCAGATAATGTACCTGCAGTAAAATCTGAGTGCTGAATCTAAAATAATTACTTACTACAAATAAAATTATGCATTCCGAAGTGTCGGAAAGTATAGAAGATTCCTGAGCACACCACCAAAATAAAGCCTCCTGGGGACTGCGCTGGAACAGTGACATTCAGTATACATCCATCCAGAGCCCCTTGCTAAAGTAGATTACTAATAAGTTGCAAAGGTCATGAAAAACCCAGCGTACTGGTTTTTTGGTACTCTTGAATCCGGGTTTAATGTTTATACTGTCTCAAGAGGCTTGTGTTTAGCTAGTTATTGCCTTGAGATTTTTTTTGCTAGTTAAAACCTTCAGGTTTTTTTTTTCTTCAGGATGGTGACAGGTAGAGGAGATGATTTGCTAGATCTCTAGATAATTTGAGTACTGAGTGATCGTTCTGTGGAGGTGTTCCATCATCATCTTTAATCATATTTTCTTACATCAAATGGTTGCAAACATAAAAACATCAGTGCAAAATTTCAGTATTGCTTTGTGAAGATTTAAGATCATGAATTCTGATGTTAGAAACAAAAAAGGAAAAAGAAAAAACCCGCTGTTGTATATCAGAGGTGATGATAATGTTGCGACTGTAGCTGTATTTTAAGTAGTTTTACAAATAAGAGTTTTACTCTGATTACATAGTCATTTCTTTTCTGGTCTCAGAAGGGAAAAAAATTGCCATGTTGATGCGCTTCTCTTCGCTTTCTTAGGGTGACAGTGCTACCTAGTGCTCAGTTAGGGTAAAGGCAACTGTCTGCACTGACACTATTCAAAATCGATTAATTTATTTTTAGTATAAAGGCTCATCAGTGGAAATGATGAGCATGCCCAGAACATGAGTGCTCTTGCGGATCAGCAGAGCGATTCTCCGTGTGACACGGCCCACAAGGTGCACAGGGCTGGCGTGGTGACCTCTGTGGTCTTCCTACCTGTAAAAACATTTTCAGCCAAGAGTCTTTGCCAGCTCCATTGACTGTGGGAGAAGACATGGGCAGTTCTGCTCCATCCTTGGGGCTGGGGGAAGAGAAGAGCAGCTCCGTAATGAGCCTGTCTAGTTCAGCGCTGCTGTAGAGTACTATGTGGGCTGCGGATGCCCATCTCAATGACAGGAGAAGATGCTTTCTTCTCATCTCATCTTGCATTCGGAGATGGAAAGCTGAGCACTTTTAAAGGCAGATAGTAGGAAGTCAAAGGTGGCAGAAAAGCAGGAAGGAGGGACAGAAGGTGGAAGAGATCAGTTGCA